CTGGTGGTAGTAAATTATAACATCGTGGAGCTAAGAATGCAAATGATCTTTGTAATATGTTTTTTCTGGTAATGGTACTCGTAAGATGCCTTTGTTTCTTGAGTCGTAACTATAAGTGTTGTAATCTACAGCGACTTTGCTTTTGTGTTGTTCTATGACGATCTGGAAAAAGCATGCTTGTCGAATGTCAAGTATTTTAGTTTCCAGATAAATCATATCACTAGGGTAAGTCATTGGTCGATTATATATTGTCTTGAGTATCAGTTTCTGGATTTTCTCCAGCTGATCTATATGAGTCTTGTTAGCAGATCCCCAAACTGGTATACCATAATTGATGCGGCTTTCGATTAATGCATGATATATCATTCTATATAAGTTTACTAACTCTTCTATCATGACTCTTGCCCGATTGAAGATAGGATTTTTCCATTTTCAAACCTCTCTTTTCACTTGGTTCACTCTTTTCTCTAAATACAAGTTTTCAACAGAAACATGTTGGTATTGTTGGGTTGGTTGAAAAGGAATTCATTAAAATCTGTTAGTACAACAGTCGCCAACATCTCAGTGTCCAATATCCCGCCAAAAGAATTCCATTCGATCTCAACACACAATAGACGGAATTCGCACGGCCACATCCCAGACAAATTCACCGACAATTTGCCGACCACTGTACGAATAAACCTTTATTGTGGCCTGTTTAATCGTTATTCTTAAACCCTTTACTATACAGGGTTATCCAAATTAAGTGTCCACCATTAGTAACTTTGTTATTAGTGAAAATCCAAAGTTGTTTGAATTAGCAAACTAGTAGCATTTTTAACGCTGGTAAAAATGAGAAATAAAAAAAAACAATTGAGAGTCGTTATTTTGATTTTTTTCAGTAAAATAACATTTTTTTAAATGGAAACCCCTGTATATTATATTTTTTTCTGTTAAAGCATCAAATTTTAAACAAAAAAGTTCATAATGACTTTTCCGCTAAAGTCAAAAATAAAGTCAAAATAACGATAAATATTTTTAATTATTTGCAGTATTATAATATTAAGACGGCTATGAAAACAACATGGCGTTCGCGATTTGACAGCATTAAGATAAGCGACAAATTGTTAAACTGGACATACTCGCAACTAGAAGGCTTTGGAAAATAATGATAAAATCAAATAATGTCAAACATTAGTGTAAATACTTGTTTATAAGCTTTATTGTGTCATTAATTTAAAGAAAAATGTTCTCCCATGAAGAAAAGTGTGATATGTTAGAATGCTATTTAGTGTGCAGAAAATCCTCCTTGAGAGCAAGTGAATTATATCCCGCTCGCATTCAACCGTATGAACGATATTTTCTGAGACTTTATCGAAAATTTAGGGGCAACGAAAATGTTTTTGCTAAAACAAGGGCAAAAAAAGAATTCATAATAAGCGAGGCCACGGAAATTGCAGTTATTGGATATTTTGAAGCTTATCGTGAGAATTCAATAGCAGATATTCTCAAGGACTCTAATTTCAGTTATGGTACTGTTCAAAGGATTTTAAAAAAATACAAATTTATTCCGTATAAGTACCGACCAGTTCAAACGCTTTTGGCAGGGGATCCAGAGAGAAGACTTGTTTTTTGCCATTGGTATCTTAGCTTCCGTCGCCAAAATGTAAATAACTTTCGTTACCTTTTATGGACAGATGAATCAAATTTTTCAAATTCTGGAATGTTTAATAGAAAAAACCACCATTATTGGTCAAGAGAAAATCTTTTGTTAGTACATCCAAGAGGCCCACAAGTCCGTTTCAGTTTCAACGTTTGGTGCGGTATAATTGGTTCAAAAATTGTTGGCCCGTTCTTTTATGAGGGAACCCTAACTGGTGAAAGATATGTGGAATTTATGTCAGAAATTCTGACTAATTTCTTAGACGAATTGGATCTTATAAGTAGACATCATCTGCATTTTCAGCAAGATGGCGCACCTGCCCACAACTCCAGAGGTACTTATCATTTTCTAAGTACTACTTTTAATGATCAGTGGATAGGAACAAATGGCCCAATACAGTGGCCTCCCAGATCACCAGATCTAAACCCACTTGATTACTTCTTGTGGGGTTACTTAAAGAACCAAATTTACAAGCGAAGGTACGATAACCTTGACGCGTTAAAGACTGCAGTTAGGGAAAAGATAACCCAGATAGATGGTAGGACCATACTTAAGACAGTTCGAGCAGTTGAAAAACGTGCCCAAAAATGTATTGAAGAACAAGGTGGTGTTTTCGAGCATCTTCTTTAAAAAAAATTGTTATTGTATTTTGTAAGATTATAAGTTGATGTTGAAAATAAAGTTTGTCGATACAATTTAATTGTTTCAGATTGGAGGCCATAACTTCAACAATTTGTAACCTAGGAGAAAAGTTATTGTAAGCTTTTTTGTTTAAAATTTGATGCTTTAACAGAAAAAAATATAATATACAGGGGTTTCCATTTAAAAAAATGTTATTTTACTGAAAAAAATCAAAATAACGACTCTCAATTGTTTTTTTTTATTTCTCATTTTTACCAGCGTTAAAAATGCTACTAGTTTGCTAATTCAAACAACTTCGTATTTTCACTAATAACAAAGTTACTAATGGTGGACACTTAATTTGGATAACCCTGTAGAGCCACAGGAAGATAATTGTCCACACTACTTCAGAGGAAAATGAAAAAAATTTGGTACTTGAAGGAATTCCATAAATTCTGATCTGTGTGTACTTGAAAGATTTTCATTAGGGGACGATTGTAGCCTAAAATCTTATATACACATGTGGCCCTATTCAACAGTCTTTGCGTGGGTTCAGAATATGGTTTTCGCGTATCCGGAGTTTTTTGATACACGGGTAGCCACACGGGTATTATGTAAAAACCTATAAAACTTCAAAAAACCCTATAAAATGTCATCTTGCAGACTAGGTGGTTTTTAGGGTGCAAACGTTTGCTCACTAGGATCGTTGTCAGCGTCCACCTATGGAGGAATGACTCAACTACACGTATTGTTGGTTGCATATGTTTTGTGAAGCCGAGTAGTCTGTAGTTTTCATCTCCGAGATGTGAAACAAAGAAAGTTGGTTGAATAGCAAGATCACATCTGGATGACTATGTGTATTTTTTTGCATGAGTATAAGATCAGTGATATTTGCTGTGTGAGAAAATTATCACTGAATATGCTGCCAATGAAGTATATCTATTAGCTGTGACCAAAGGCTTGTTTATATGTTGTCCTTTCTGAAGGTAGGTTATGTTCAAAGAAATAAATTACGATTTTTCCCGTTTTTGTGTTTTCAAAAACATTGAGGAGCAATACAAGACATCGCCACCGCGCCCGCGTTATGTGCAATTAAGCCATATCACAGAAAAATGACGCATCACACATCAAAACATCAAACATTTTCGCAATGCTTCACATGTAGGCGCTGATTTGGATGTTCTATTGACTTTGCATAATAAATTTCTATAAAATTTGAATGACTGGAAATAATAAAAATGTAATAAGCTTTTCACTTTAATAAATATTCCTGTCTGTAGCATATTTTTAACCAGGGATTTTCTTATCTCATCTCTCTCATTTTTGAAATTCATCTAATTTGCATACCTATGTAATTTGTAGAATGAATAAGAAAAAGTGGATCCGCAACTAAATTTTAGCATTGAATCTCAAGTAAGTGAATACAATTCACAGCTTAGACCACCAGTAATGCCATCTCTGAAGAAGATTTTACATCACATCAGAGCCAAACATTGATAACCAAAGCATCATGACGTTCAGGCAACACGTACAATAAATCGAGTTCACAAGTGTCCATCAGCTAGTGCTAGGTTAACATCTTATAGAAAAACCTACATAATTTCACAAAAAACAATATAATGTAAAAAAGATCGGCATAATGTCACTTTTCAAGATACGTAATACCCCTGCCCGGTCGTACAGGGATATTTCAATTGTAAATAAAACTTCATATCTATTAGTTTGAACCTTTCAAATGTATATTTGTGTAGAAAAACTTATTAGCAAAATAATATAAATATGATGTCACTGTCGTATTTCTTAAAAAAAGCATGCTAACGAACATTGAAATAACAACATGAATTAACATGTAACAAAGCTTAGAAAAGGGATCAAGGTTATTGATTTTAAAGAATAAATGAATAGGATAATGTTAAATAATCCAAGAGATTAACGAAAGTAATCATTAATTAATATCGGTCTTGTTAATGAAATAAGATGACAAAAATATCAATGCATCGGAGAACGCTCATTCGCTGTCTCTTGAAGTTGGCTTTATCGATAATAGTGCTTTATATGTATATTATAACTAAATTGCGAGCTTTGCTTTTCATGACCTCGTACATCTAAAACAAGAATCTAGAACATAAAAATAAAGCTATAAGATGTTAATATGGTAATATTAGAAATTAGGTCTATAAAATAGTTGGTTGAATAGCAAGTCCGCATATGGATGATTTTGTGTATTGGTCTGCATTTGTATGCATCATGACGTTTAGGCAACACGTACAATTACAAAACGAGTTCACAACGTGTCCATCACCTAGTACTAAGTTAACATCTCGCACAAAAACCTACATATTGTCACAAAAAACAATACAATGCCATAATGTCACTTTTCAAGGTAGGCACGTAATACCCATGTGGAGGTATCAAAGCCATCAATTTATTTTTATTTCGGAATATATGTACCAGGTACATTTTTAGTCAGCCTATCCTAGATAAAATTTTTCATATATCTTGGACACAATAAGCATTTATGTCGCTTGGTGTATTTGAGCCCGCAGCTATACGCTGCTTGGGGTCTGGTCCCACATCGCGGGCCATTACCACTCTCGTTACAACATAGATATATAAGTATGTTAAAATTATCAAAAAAAGTACGTGTTATTGCTTGTAATAGTTGATGTTTGTTGAGAATTGATTGAAATTGACAGTTTTGCCTCTATACCAACAGTTCTGATTATTGCTATTGTACCTTTTCTAAATATTCCTTCAAGTTCGTATCCTGCAATAGGTTAGCAATACCACAGGCTTCCATCAGTTCGCTTCTGGCATCATTCTTATTGTGCTGTTGTATATTTATCCTGACTAACAGCATCAGAGCATTGATATGCCATTCCGGATGTCCCTCGTCTTTGGTGCTCTCTTGAATGCATTTTCTACTGTAAACTCCGGCCAACTCATATTTTTTCATCTCCAGGTGGTACCTTGACAACTCGTGGTAGCACCAACAGAGTTGGTCGTTGGTCTCTGCTTGACGAAGACGCTTCTCGAACAGTTCAATTTGTTTTCTGGAATTTGTGCAAGTATTAGGACCACGAATTGACTTTGGAGACACGTACTAGAGATAGCAGCATGATTTGCAAATATTTTGTTTTTTGGAGTTGTAGGCAACGAGGAATGGATCACAATGTTGTGGATAAAATGAGGTTTAGTGATTAGGGCTATTCCAGGCTGAAGTTGAGACTGTTGTCTGGCTATAACACGATGAGGCGCCACCTGCGTCTGATGAGGATGGCTAACGATCCTATATGTGTGTGCTGCGGTGTAGAGGAAAGGCCATGTTCTGTGTCGTTGTGAGGCTCTGAGCTACTACAGGCAGACTATACTGGGGTCCAACACATTGGATCCCCAGAATATTAAGGAGCTGGAACTCAGCTCTATACTCAACTTCGCTAGAAGAGCAGAGCTTGGGGCTTAAGGAATATAGTGGTGCAAAAGAGCCCATCCTGTGGCCTATACACCGGCTCCTCGTGGTGGCCGGTATGCCTCTAATTTCATTTATTCATTCATTCATTCAAGCTTTTTCGTTCTAACCATAGCAACTTTTGTTAATATTTGAGTGATACTTGCCGAGTAATAGGGATCTAGGTTTAACTCACTTGTGGTCTAGGTAAACATTCTTGAACTGCTTAATGACAGAATCCGTTGAAGGTTCTCTACTAACAGGATACCCGAAGGACACATATATCCTCTTATGTTGTTCACAGAACACCTGGTTCTTATTTAGCCTGTTCAAGTCATAGAATCCTTTGCGTATCTTCACCAAAATTTCATGCAAGTACGTGTCTTTGTCAGGCATTATTCTTTTCGGCTTAGAGTCACAGTAGTACTTGAGCTTCTCTGCTACCTGCAGCATCTGCTGTAGTTGCTTGTTCTCAAAGCAAGCGATCAGCTTATTCATAAGCACATCAGCTTCTTTCTTAGTGATATTTCGCTGTAGAATCAGTTCTTCTTCTTGTCGGGCTTTTAGAGATCCTGATGCATGCGCTTCTTGGTATTTGATATAGTAGAAAGGGCTACGCGTTCTCAGAAGCTCCTGAAATAATGTATAGGTAGACAGATAAACATGCTTTATTGTCTGAAGAATACAATCATTCTTGATAACAAAACCGTCTTAAAACTAAATAAAGTCACATATGTGGATCTCAATCTCATATTTGGAACTTTTACATGGTATAATATGGTTTGAGGAGGTTTTTAAGTTCACGGCGAAATATAATTAAATTGTTGATCCTTTTGATATCATCAAGGAAGCATGTAGAGACATGTAAATCTTCAGATCATTATAAATGATTGAGTCTTTAACAAGAGTGTCGACTTAGGTACTACCAATTTAAGATTTTGTTTTCGTCTAATATCGTAACTTATACAGGGTGACTTTGAAGTTGAGTCATTAATTTTCAGATAATGATTGTAGAAGGAAGATAAACCAAAATATGTGTGTAAAAATAAAAAAAAAATAAAAAAAAATTCACCTTGTTTTATAAAGTATCCTCCCGACAAGTATTTCAGTGCAGACCTGTATTTGATCGTGAGGTCTTGGAGCACTGGCATGCCGTCCCCTGTGAGGTCTTAAGTCACCTGATTCACGAGCCCGTTGTACTACATTAACAAAGGCACGAGGGGTTGGTTGCACTCGATTGGGAAACCGATCCGCATAAACATGTGCCATTTTTTATTTCGTTTGAGCCACGCAACAGACACCACTATTCACTCACGCGTTACCGACTGACACTGACTGTATACAACTGAATAAAATAATTGTAAAAACATCGTTCCAAATTCTTTCGCTTTTTTGTTTCCGATGCGATGAACCGATAAGGCGGATTATATCCGTTGTTGTCAAACACGAGCACATAATATTATTATTGAGACAGGGCGGTACTCAAACTTCCAAAGGGCTATAACTTTGTTACTTTAATTTTACCACAAAAATGATAAAGGAAAAAAACTTTTCTTTTGATCAGATCTACTCACTGTTAAAATAAATGACTCAACTTCGAAGTATTTGATGTCTGAAATTTAGATTTGTTTTTAAAAATAAGTGTTTTTGTTTCCAAAACAAGCAATCTTCAGATCATTATAAATGATTGAGCCTTTAACAAGAGTGTCGACTTAGGTACTACTAATTTAAGATCTTGTTTTCGTCTAATATCGTAACTTATTCTTGATGTCTGAAATTTAGATTTATTTTTAAAAATATGTCTTTGTTTCTAAAACAAGCAATGATACCTGAGTCATTATTTTGAGAATTAAAGGTAAAGGCCTGCATGTAGCTCTAGGATTGCTTTTAGTTATATACCTAATAGTTCATTTATGTAATATAAGCACTTTCCTCAACAATTTTGGAAATAGACGCACCAAAAAGGTATGTAACATTTCAATCTACTTTCAAATAAAGCAAATTAATTGTTTAAGGCTGTGCTTTTGCCTACGTTGTACTCATAATAAAGGAAGTCTTTGCTAGTTGCGTAAGCAATTGGTCTGTATGATTACCAAAACTTAATTTATGATTAAAAGCATATCATGATTTACCCAATCAAATGCTTCAGAAAAGTCACAAAAAGAGCAATTGGAACCTGGTTATCGTTTAAATTTGAGTTTAGGGGTTGGAGTAATGTGAAAATATCATTCATGTTATTTTTTGTTTTTGAAAGCTAAATTGGTTGTCACTTATAATAGGAAGGTTCGCCATTTTCTTATTTTTACTCAAATCGATAGTTTTTGTTATTAAAAACCGGTAAAAAAAATAAGAACAATACCACAAAAAATTTTTTTGAGTATTCCATAAGCTGCCGCACAACGTAAAAGGTGATTTGACGCAGCTCGATGGGATGTAACATCAGTTTCTTTCACGTCGACCATGTACTGCTGCGAAGATCATTTTGACCTGGAAAAAGATATGGAAAACTATCTACAATACAAGATGAGTACCGTTCGAGCCCGGATGAATCATAATATTGCACCTCATAAATTTGCATGTCAACTGGGTAGACAATTAAGCTCTACGAAACGAGTGTTCAGCGAAAAAAGGGCAAGGCAGAACGACATCGCCAAATATTTGCAGCCAGCGGCGGCACGCCGGGCGGGACCCTCAATCGAAAAATCCGAGCCTGAAGGCGTGGAAGTTATTGAGAAGAAGCATGATGAACTGCCTGAACCGTTAACAGTGGAAGTTCAGTCACAGGTTTGTGACAAGGCATGCCAAACCAAACAGGTACATTTTAGAAGCAAGTCAGTTCAAATCTCGCAAAAACGGAAAGTAATGGATGTTGCTGTATCGCTAATAAGAATTCCTGCGCTTGCTAAACAGATTTCAGAGCGGCCAAAAAGACGTCTGCAAAGTGGAAAGTGAACGGGCAAATCTTGAAGGTCCCGCAACAACAGAAACATCCGAATCTGATTCGTATGAAGCCAGTGGAAGCAGTACTGAAAGTAGTGACAGCGAAGATGACCAGCTTACTGCCGAGATCGAACAGAGTAGTATAAGGGATTTATTTATCAGAGTTGTAAAAAAGAACCTCAGATTGTATACTGGCATTCCAGTCGTTTACGCAGAGTTTATTGAAATATTGCACAAACGAACTGGATGGATTATTTGCAAAAACTCGTACACCATTTCCATATTCACATGGGGAAAATTTCGCGAATCAACTTTCTGATAACTTTGGAGCATTGTGCTAGCACAAATAAATAAAGTACACAAACGTCGGTCCCAGTTTATATAAATTCGTATTCGTATAATCTTCACTCCGTATACAAGACAATACAAGATACAAGTACTCTATGAGGGCGACAGCACGTGTCTGGCTACTGACGTCACGCGGTCTAGTCTCGCGTACAGGTACGTTTTCTAGCCTCGCGTCGATCCTTGATTTTAAAATGCTTTCCGTCGACGTAAATATTAATATTTTGCACTCAAATTTCTTTGATCGTTTTTCAATAACTCCTATGATACGTCACTTTTTATGAATTTTTTTATATGGTGAGATGATATTTTCATTCCTTTTGCGATCCACGGTTATTGCTTTTAATTTTAATTTTTTGGTATGGGCAGCTTTTAAGAAAAATATTCACAAGTTGTTCATAAAGCGTTACAAAGGGATTGTTGATAAGGAAGAAATCAGTACAGTTTATTGTGATAGATCTATTATAAAAAAAATTATACGCATGATTATTAAAATGTCTGTTATATTTACATCTATTTTGTTTATTGAAATAACAGCTAATCAGTGTTGCTAAGGCTACTTCGTGAACAGACAATCCGGCAGATAAAACAGTGCAGTCATAATTTGTAGACATGTAGTACATTTTGGTGCATGAGGATTGAAATACGTGTGTGTCATCTTGACTTGCTGTTTCTAATAAGGTAAGAGCTAAAGTCAATTTTTTGTCCTAAGCCTATGTTTGGGTTTTAACGTAACCTTCGGTCGAAGCTGAAGATTATATGCAGGAACTCTGGTTTTATTGTATAGCATTAAATCACATCTGGTTAAAATGGATGAAACGTGAAAATAGTTTGATCAATGAAAATGAACATATACGTATAGTTCTGATAATGAATTGAGTTTTATCTTTGGTTATTTTGCAGAATAAGCCATTTGCAGTCTAAAACCAAATTCGGTTGGTATAGGAATTTAAAATCAGTTACACGTTTACAGCAAACACCTGAATTGCTGACATAATTTCATAAACGTTTAGCATAGAAAAATGAAAGTTGCGGGAATCATGTTCAAAAGCACGCCTTCTAAGAAAAAGTTAATATTCTAAACAAGGTAACGATGTGCAACATTTTATTTTTTTACATGGAATAAGTTACATAATTAGAGTCGACTTCAACGGATAATTACAAAGTGAATTTTTGTCAAAATAAAATTAAACAGGTAGCCATATAGCTTAGAAACTCATTATGAATGTTAATAAGAGAGGCCAGATACAAACAATAGTAGCATACTATACTAACAACACACACCAGACTATCTATTTATTATAGGTTTGATCTACAGTATTGAAGGTTTTGCATCCTAGTTCAATGCTACTGAACATTTTGAGCTGTGGAGCTATGTCACCTTCAAATGCATCGAATTATCAAATAATGAAAAGTCTTTTCTCGTAAATTCATAAAAATATTCTTTGTGTTACATACGGTAGCAAAATAAATTAATAATAGTAGTAAGTCGCTTCAAGGATTTCTGTATTTCTCTTCATTTGCAGTTACGGCAGTATTGAATTGGGGGTGCGTTTTGACAATATTTACACTGGTACTGAAACTGGCAGGCCAACACGTAATACAGAGTACCTAATTGGTAGCAAAGAGGAATTGACCAGGAGCCGACTCTCCTATACATACATATTGCAATACCCCCTAAGATCTTACAGAAGCTGTTTCAGTTGATTATAAATTCTCGTGAGTACTGATGTCTTGAAACATTCGGCCGCACACAAAAAAATTTCATCTTGGTTCAAGAACAACATCTTCAATTGAGGACCGTGACTTCGGTTGTTTGTAAGACATATGTCTTTGAATTAAGGTTAACTTCTCAATTGTAAGTGCTACGTTTCTTTAAAACAATGAAATTACCTCATTTGAAGTATTTGTGATCTCGAATCAATATCATAGTTTCATAGAAATTCATACTCTTGAATCAATAGCACTCTTTTTGGTGTGCGTCTGCCAAATGTTCGGCCTTTTGTGACCAAAGGTGAAATATGTGGCCGAACGCGGATTTTTGGCCAACTGTGTGCAAAGCTAATGCCGGGATCTAGATGGCAACCCTAGGATAGTTAATAATAATAATAACAGTAATAATAATAATGAGGAAAAGCTACAGCACACTGGACGAAATGTTGTGTATCGTAAGCATACAAATACATTTTAATGTTTCTACACAATCTTGCAGATTCAACGTGAAAACTAGGAATAAAAGAGGTCCCAGTATCGAACCCTGAGAAACTCCTGATGAAACTTATGTGTATCAGAAGTTCCTCCAGATGTTTTCATTTTTTGGGTGCGATCAGTTAAATTTGGTGATATTTCAATGCGAATAAGTAGTAGAAAAACTATGAATCAATATCGAGGGCAATAGTGCATAAAGGAATTTATTTACTTTTTTGAACAAAAAGCACGAAGAACTAATTTTGACCATCATACTTTCAAATAATGGAAAACGTTAGCTGTTCATAGCAAATTGCCAGCAATAGCAGGTAAGTATCAGTAGATTGTAGATAAACAATTCTTACCTGTTTGTAAGATACTGCTTTGTATCCTTCCTTGGCAAGTCTAATGATTTTTTCGGAACCTTTTTGATTAGGGCTCTTCGCACCATGCTCATATTGCAATTTGTTCAAGAAAATCTTTTCTAGGTACATGGAATCCAGGTACTTTTCAGCCATGTACTTTTCAATATTAGTGGTGTAATTTTGGAGAGGTCGAAACGGAAAGTAGTGAGGATAAGGAGGGACGAGATTCTTGTCTGATTGCCAGCTGTGAAGACTATCCCTCATACCTAAGATATATTACAAAACTATAATGATATTGGAATTCACGCAGCTTTTGCGTAAGCTCAGAGGTATTTAAGGGTGAAAAGGCTTACATGAAGTTAATCTCAACAGCCACTTCAATTACATATTACAGCTATATGAATAAAATATTCATTGTATCATATACTAAGTGTTTCTAAAGCATGAGACAAAGTCAAGGGATGACTCTTTGAATTATTTTTTAGGATTTTCAAAATACCGCTTTCTAGGAGGTACATGACCCTAAATAACTTGTTATCAACACCGTTTAATCCATAGAGATTTTGACAGCATAGTAATCAGTTGATGCCTTACATGATGGAGTCAATGAAATTGACTCGTAGATTTAGCTTCTCCAGGAACGGACTAGTCTCAATATAGATTTGTAGCGATTGACTACTAGAAAAGTTGGCATAAGACAGCTTTGAAAATTTGGGTTTGTGCAGGGTGCGGCAGAATAACTTGCTTTTTTAAAATGCATGTCATTCAGTCGGTTGATGTCGTAGGGGAGTGCCAGAGGTCTCGTTCGAAAGGAGGGATATATAATTGTGTTCAGACACAGTTCAGTCACCATCATGCGTTGGAACAGAGGAGAGTGTGCTTTTGCCGTTGAGGCCTTTTTTCGAGCGGGTGTTCTGTGATTGCAACGCTTTTGAAATCGCTTCAATTTAGCACCGTTCGCCGCGGTCCCCGTAGTGAACCGGAGCGCAAACAGCGGGAATTCCCCTTTCTTCTCGAAATTTTGACAGTTTCAAGTTACACCGGGAGTGGTTAGATGGCGCATGTTGTGCAAGATGTTTGCTTTAAGCTCCTTGATAAACTTAGCTGCCTTGTTTGAATCTGAAATAAAAAGACCGATCGTTTTTTGTGCAATGTACATATATATCAATAAAATCAATCATTTGATATGACAAGTGCGGTTCATATATCTTCGATGACCTTCTCCCTCGTCATTTAAAATCAGGTGGACGTGTTCCTCCATTTATGATTTAATAATTTTCGGCACTGCGAAGACAAATTTTCAATTCAGATGCCTGTTTTTTTAAATGAAATTGACATAAGACCTGTCACCCGCTAGTATCTCACAGACGTTAGGCGGGTACCCGTTCCACCTGATTTTTTGACATTCGGACGACGTCACATCCGTCTTCCCCTATTCCCGTTCTTCGCGAAAATTTGAGTATCGGTTCCCGGTAGTGCACTGTGCTATACCGTGGACTCGCGAAAAAATCCTTAATTCACCTACATTCACTCAAACTGCAAGTGTGACAAGATAAAGAACTGGATTCCCTCGGCGGATTAGATCACCTGAAAACATGGATGCAGTAAAGTCTTCAATATTGCGATCACCACGGCGTTCTGCACGCAAACATGCATCTGACCTTTCCCTGTGTATTCTGTGGGGAGAATTATTCAGTCTGATTTTCATTTCGATCATTACAAGACCGCAATTGTGCACTTCCAGTTGTACCCGAAGTACTCGTAGATATTAACATGATTATTACATGCGGGCCTCGCTCGTAAATAAAACACTTGTAGTTTCCCCGAATGGGACGAATTCCACACGTTATCCAAGCTAAAAAAGAGCGACAATGTTGCAACCCTGCTACCGCGTCGCCGGTACAGTCATTCTTCGTTTGTGTGTCGAATAAACTCACACGTATGCGTAAACCAAGTAGTTTAGTGACAAGAAGAATGCCCAAGCATAAGAAACGCCGCCGTAGCAGGAGCAATAGCGGCGATTGAGTGAAATTGAGCGATCTCGTTCACGGGTATCTTCCCGGCCGCCATCTTCCATTCGATCAGCGTTGACCCGTTGACGCCATCGCCGCCGCGGCAACCACCCGTCCCAGGCACAGCCGCACGCAGCATTGCCAGCTCTTCCGATCTTTCGGAGATCTGCGAAAATATTCCATGTAAGCAAAATCAACTCAAAAAAAATATTCCAGGTAAGCAAAATCAACTCAAAAGCGCATTGGCACGGAGTCACATTCTTACATAGCTTATACCAAAGTGCTTCAATGAACCTATTATGAACAATAATTGAATACTTGACTCATGAACATGTGTTAGAAGCCAATCCACAACTGATACCAGATTGTTATAATAGTTATAATAGTATTGCACATAACGAGCGTATGACAGCTCACTACGATACTTTTGACAGTATGGTAGATCAGAAGCATATGAAACTCTGATAAAATACTTATGGCAGTATTGGTTATCACAGACAGCGCGTCACAATGCAATGATAGCATTACGGATTATGAGCTCACGACAGCTCCCTACAATGCTGAGGACAATATTCTCCATCACGAGCTTGCTGCAATACCTAGATAATATTGAATTTATGAGATTATGCATCTCGCTATCGCCCTACTTCGCACACGCTCGTGACCGCATGGCCACAATGCTTATGATAATATTGCACAATATGAACTTATGTCAGCTCATTACAATGCCTATGACAGCGATCCCTATCACAGATTATACACCGCGCTCCGATATTCATGACAGCATTGCATATCTTGGGCTTATGAAAGCTCGCTATGATACCTGAAACAGTTTGGTACATGACGAACTTGTGACAGCTCGCTACTACATCTACATGGGCATTGACCTTTGGAATTTATGCAGCTCAACTGTGCGAGCCGCGTGTAACGTTGCACGAACTCAGAACATGCCAACATGTCAAAAATGATTGACTGACTCTCTGATTTTCGATTTATGGTAAACATCGAAGAACACAGTAAGGAGAATACGCCGCCTTAAGGGTAACAACTAGAGGAAGATATCCTCAACATCTTGGGGAAAAATACAATAAAATAGCCAGATGTAGGACCGGCTATCCACAACGATCTGGCAATTCGCTGGGCTCACAACATACAGATGGATCTGGAAGAGGAAGAGAAGAACAGATTATTAGAAAAATACCTCCCTCCTGAAAATTGTACTCAGGTAAAAGCTCCAACACTTAACTTGGAGGTCAAAGCTGCAATCTCCAGCTCTGTGCAGAAGAGAGACGAGAGACTCTCTGCTTTACGGCGCCAAATAGGCGCTAGCCTGTCCTGTATAGGCAGCGCTCTGACTCTCATCCTCAAAGAAGAGGGAGGGGGCAACAGAACGTACATCCAATTGCTGAATGATGCTAGCAAACTATTGACTGACCTGCATCGCACAGAAACCATCGCTCGTCGTGAACTAGTAGCCCTTAACCTGAAATCTGATGTAAAACAGATCCTATCGGAAGCCACAGTTGATGGGCTGCTCTTTGGGACAGACTTAGAAGCCAGACTCTCCATAATATCGAAGTACAAAACATTGTTACCGTAGATGATAAGATAGAGATAAAAATACCTAAGAGGCAGCAGCGGTGGCCGCAGTAGTAGACTCTTCGGTCTCCGTCGCCGTGCGCTGTGCGGGTTCGAGTCCTGTCCCAGGAGAAATTTTTCTCTTGGCTATGGATGTTGTGATTGTCCGTAGGTGGTAGATGGTCTCTGACTGTCGAACGCGGAGGTACCACCCGGCGGTTCTGGTAGGCGGAGCCAGAATGTGTGCATGTTGCATGCACACGTGTTCCCTCGCCAGAGTCCATGGTGTGGCGCCCCCCCCTTTCTCATGTATCCCACTATAGCCCCACGGTACCCAATGGGTGCTTAGGCCTTAGGCCTTCGTGGTAGTTGGGGTATAAAAAAAAGGCTCAAGTCCTCTGGTAGAAACGTGCCACAACCTACACTAATCCTACTGTTTTTCCATTCCGAAAAAGATATTTGTCCTGCAACAGCTGTACAGTTATATTTGAAAAAAACAAAACCCATTAGGGGCACCACAGAGAAATTATTTTTTACAACCGTTTTACCACCGTTTCGTAGCGCCTCCACGCCGAGCATAAGTAGATGGATCAAAGCAATGCTGAGGGCAAGTGGAATTGATACAGATAAGTATAGCTCACATACTACCAGACATGCCTCTACCTCAGCCGCTGCGCGCAGGGGTTTTAACTATGATACAATCCGCAAAGCAGCGGGTTGGAAGGAAAAATCAAAGGTTTTTGCAGGGTTCTACCGGAGGCCTTTAACTTCAACCGAGATAATCGCTGATGCAGTATTCCCTACCTAGCATTAAGCTATGGAAATATGTTCTAATAAAGGTTTAAGAGCATTTTAGTTGTTGCACTCGCTTTAAACAACTACAAGTGCTTTATTTACGAGCGAGGCCCGCATATAATTGTTAGATTAAATGAACTTACCTTAAGTGAAGTTCTATCTTAATTATATGCGGGCCTCGTGAAGTAAATAACGCCCACCCAAAAACCCATTAAACCCTAGAAAGTGCAACAGCGTGGGGCTTTGAAGAAGAATGACTGTACCGGCGACGCGGGAGCAGGGTTGCAACATTGTCGCTCTTTTTTGGCTTGGATAACGTGTGGAATTCGTCCCATTCGGGGAAACTACAAGTGTTTTATTTACTTCACGAGGCCCGCATATAATTAAGATATAACTTCAATTAAGGTAAGTTCGTTTAATCTAACAATTTTGTTTTATCTGAAAACTGATTTCAGTGAAATGAACTTTTTTTATCCCAATAATGTTTTATTGATTATGATACCCATTTCGATATATGTGCAGTCGCAATTTTTGCATTTTTAGATTACTTTATCAGATCTTAGGCTAATATCCAACTTTTTGGGGATTAAGTGCATTGTAAACAGGATGTTAACAAATCAGCAATGTTATTTAAGAAAATCTGATTTCCATTGGCGTCCTTGGATTAATAATAATATCGTCTTTATTCAAACACAAACAACCAAGAGAGACATATGGTTTCTTCGTACAGTAGTCGCTAACTTGTCGGTGACTGTCAAAATCAGAATCAGAGGGATATTACCTGTTCGTGACAGTTTCTGACTGTTTGCGACAGCTAGTCCGCTATTCGGTACAGAACCTTCTGACAGATCAGAGGATCACCAGTCAACCAGTGACAGTGACAGGTAGGTATCAGAGTGTGTCGGACACTATCTGAGGGCTAAAATCCTTCGCGAGGAGGCATTCATGAACTTTCTCTAATGGACGTACACGGGCAGTGGCGATCTAGCTAAATCCAACGGGCTTGCTCCTCAGAGTCTTTTCCATGGTGTCCCCGCGATGTGCCTACCTGACTCTCCTCCCATCGTAAGCGTTTCGAACTTCGTACATCAGAACTGGCTGATAAGACCGCTCCTTTGTCCCGGGGTGTCGAGCTCGTGTAACAATCTACATGAGGAGATTTTCTCGGTTCTACTAACTTTAGGCAGTAAAAAAATGGGAATAATAAAGTTTCTTCAAGCTCCTGAAAGCAGCCGCGGTGCCTTGGCATGTAGGGTGTAAAAAAAACGAAACCCAAAACTCTTAATTTTGTAGAGAAAACAGTGCCACAATTCAACAGAAATAAATTTTTGTAACATTTCAGGTGAGCAAGTGGCAGATGAAATTTTAATGAAATTCTATTTTAATAGAGTATGAAAAATCCGAACAATAGAGGACATAACTTTCAACATTTTTGTTACAGTTGCAAAATGCATAATTACGCGATTTAAGTCTCACTTCTATGTATTTTCGTAGTTTCAGTTCTTTTTGTCCATGTTGAGAACTCTGTGAAACTTATAGCTATGTCAGCAGATTTTGATAATTGTAGTTATGTCCAGCCATTGTAGCTTTTTAGTGTATAACAAACTTTATTATTCAAAGACGTTATTAAATCCTAGTAGTATTTTCACTTCCTTCTTCTAGTAAGAGTGTGCATATACAGGGTGTTCCTAATTTGGCACTCACCATTGGGATCTTGGAAACTGAAAGGGATACGAAGTCGCTTAAATGGGATACTGAACAAAATGACACTACGAAGGTTTCGAAAGTACTTTCCGTAGAGTAACGGAAAAACTGAATTTTCCCAAAATTGTTGATTTTTTCCTGACTTTATTTACATTGGGACTTTAAAATAAATTGCACATTAACAGTGCCACGTTTTCTCCTCTACAAGAAGGCATAATCAGAATTTCTATATGACGGTTCGTCTCTTGTCCTCGAACATCAACTTTACTATTTCTTAAGGAAGCTATACTGCATTTAAGCACAGATGAATAGAGTTTTTAATTTTGATTCAAAAAATGCCTAATTCATTATACATTGACGTTGTCAAACCTTGATTACTTTAAGAAAAACGTAATTTCTTAGGTAGGCCATGAAATTATCAGATATTTGTTCGCTCACACTATATTGGAATTTTGTTCATTTAAATGAACTTTTTAAGCCCTACATTCAGTGATTGTTAGTTGACCATAAATTTGTTGTTGGATGAAAATTAAAAGGAAATAAAAAATATGGTGAAACCTAAATACAAAATGAAAATTCTATTGATGGTAATAACAATAATAACCATAAATAAGCAGAAGTATTCAGTCTTCCAAACTCTGTTTCTATGCAAACAAATGAAATCTAGAAATTTCAAGGCCTACCTAGGAACTTCTGGAAGGTTTTGCAATGTCAGTGTATGACATACATTTTTTAAATCAGAGTGAAAATTATATTCATGTGTGTAAGAATCCAATATGGCGTCTATAAGACAAAATTAAGCTGATGCTGGAGGACAAGAGACGAAACGTCACATTGAATTTCTATCTGTGCCGTCTTGAAGAGGAGAAAATGTGGCAGAGTTTATGTGCAATTTATTTTGAAAACCCACTACAAATAAAGTCAGGAGAAAATTAAAACCATTTTTGGAAATTTCGTTTTCCGGAAGTACTTTCAATTTCAAAACTTTTTAAGCGTCATTTTGCTGATTATCTGAATACACAACTTTGCAGCTATTTAAGTGACTTCGTATCCCTTGAAGTTTCCGAGACCCCAACGGTGAGGGTCGAACTTAAAGTACCCTGTATAGGGAAAATATTATTTTCAACCCAGCACAAACAGTCACTCTCTCTCTGTAGGCACCCGTGAGAAAAAGCTGTATCACAAAATCTCCAGAATTCGTTATTTTGTTTATTTTTTCATCATTTTTGGGTTGGACTTACATAGCTAGAATATATAAATACTGTTTGTGCATACACTTCCTGGCTGGGCGACAAGGGAACAGGGAACAAAAACCCTACTATCCGAGTTTTATTGAAAGTCATTCACAATACCTTGTACATTTCTCATGCATAATCACTGGAAACACTTATTCAGAATTCTTACTATGTTTTTTTTTTATTTTTTATTTTTTTTTATATCGAAACAGCCGCGCAGGCAGAAGCCTAAATGCCGGAACACCGCGGCTGCTATGATGATCCCAAAGAAATTTTGTTAATACGATTTTTGAACTGCCTAAGGTTAGTAGAACTGGGAAAAGCTTCCTCCCGTAGATTGTTCCACAATCTAGACACCCTCGGGACAAAGGAGCGGTCGTATCGGCCAGTTCTGGATGTACGAAGTTTGACACGGTTAGGATGGGACGCCGAAGTCAGGCGAGTCTGTCTGGCAGGCACATCGCGCGGCGGCATCATGGAAGAGAGCTCTGAGGAGCAAAGCCCGTTGGTGTAGCGATAGAAAAGAGCTAGGTCGCCGACGGCGAAAGAGTCCCGAGACTGTCTGTTAGGGAAGAGTCATCGATCAGTCGGACCGCCCTCCTCTGGACAGCATCGAGCATGGACAATGTAGTCGGGGCGGCAGCACCCCAAATGTGTGAGCAATACTCGAGGCTAGGCCTTATCTGGGCCTTGTATAGAGTGAGAAGGTCATGCGGAGAAAAGTACTTCTTAGCCCTAAACAAATAGCCTAGCTTTTTCCCAGCAGCTGCAGCTATTGAAGAGATGTGTTCGTGCCAGATCAGGTCCTCGGTGATCTGGACTCCGACCAGCTGAAATGAATGGCTCTTTGGTAGAACTCGACCGTCCATCGAAACTGTATGAGCGCTAGGACGCTTTTTGTTCGACAAAGTACAGTACTGTGTTTTGGAAGCATTGAACTGTACAAGATTGTTGCGTCCCCAAGCAGTGATAGCCTCCAGGTCTCTTGTCAGAGAAGAAGTCGTCGCTAGTCTTCTTTTTTCCAGCTCAGCGGCAGAGATCGGCTTGTCACTCTGAATTCCTGCATGTAGAGTGCTGTCATCAGCGAAGCTGTGGATTGGGTTGATCGTGCAGGAAAGGAGGTCGTTGATATGTAAGAGAAACAGTGTTGGAGCCAAGACCGACCCCTGGGGAACACCCGCGGTGACGTTGTGGGATGAAGAGGAGAATCCGTCAATTACGACGGATATCTTGCGACGGAGATAAAGTCAGCTACCCATCTGCAAAGCTTTTCTGGGAGGCCGTAGGATGGAAGTTTGCTTAAGAGGGCAGCGTGCCACAGCTGATCGAACGCTTTCGTGATGTCAAGAGCAACGACATGAGCCTCACCATGAGACTGGATGAGTTTACTCCACAGTTGCGTGACGTAAGCTAGGAGGTCCCCTGTGGATCGTTGGTGCCGGAAAGCGTACTGCCTGTCGCTAATCAAGCTGTGACGTTCGAGGTAGTCCAGATGCTCGCGATTTATGCACCTCTCCATCACTTTACTTATAACAGAAAGCAGAGCTATAG